TCCATCCAGCAAAGCTCGTACTCGTACTCGCCAGCCTCGGTGCTGACGCACTTTTGGCTCAGAACACGGAAGATGTCGTCGGTGCCGTAGTCCTTTTCGAGATCCTTCTCCTCGTTCTCGAGCTGGCGGCGCTTCTCGTTGAGGTCGTTGTTGGCGGCGTTGAAAGCATCCCGGGCGACAGTGACGAGGCGAGACTCGGAGCCGGCGGGGGTGTTATCAACCATCAAGCCGTTGTCAATGAGCCAGCCACGAATGGCGGTGACCTTGTCGCGGACAAACTCGCGGGCGGGAGCAGGCAGGTAGGCCTCAAAGTTGTAGACTGGTTTGGTTAGCTGCGTTCCATAATTGCTCGCTCGAGGGTACGTACGGATGTCAGTGTCAGAGCCCTCAGCCTCCTCGAACTCCTTCCAGTTGATGCCAGAACTCTCATTGTCCTCGACCAGGACCTCCCTGATGTCAGCCTCGAGATCGTCCGACTTGGTCTCGGTGACGGAGTTGGCAGAGTAGTCCTCGAAACCCTTGACGGCGCGCTTGACACCCTCGTCGTTGAAGTTGGGGTTGTACTCTTCCTTGAATCTTCTCAGGATGCCCTCAAGCTCGCCGACCTTGTTGCGGAGGTCGTCACGCTGGGCAACGACGTCTTCGAGGGTCTCGCGGAGCTCAGCGACGCGGCTCTTGGCCAGGTTGACGAGAGTGCCAAGCTTTCCACCGGAGCCTTCGCCCTTGACGACCTTGCCCCGCTCGGAACGCTCTGTCTCGTGGAGCTTCTGCTCAAGCTCCTCCTTCTTGGTCTCTAGGTTCTTGACCTCCTCCTTCAAGCTGTTGACCTTGACCTCGACACGGCGGCGAAGCTCCCTGGACTCCTTGGCCATCGTCTTGCGTCTCTTACCAGCCTTGTCGATAGCGGCCTTCCTCTCAGCCTCGACGCGGCGGAACTCCTTGCCGATCTCGTTGCACTTGTTCGGGCACTTGACGCCTCCGACCTTGCCATACTCCTCGGTGCCATCGCAGCAAATGTCGTAGTCGCAATGGCCGTCATTGACGTACATGAAGGGAACGTAAGCTCCGATGTGGCCCTCATTGGCGCACCAGAATCCCGGGAGGGCAGTAGTCGTGCTGGTTGTGCCTGTCTTGGAGCCGACGAAGGGCTGGGGAGGAGAGAGGGGGTCGAGGTGGGCGCAGGCGGAGGTGCCAGGCTCGTCGGAGCCATCTGGACAATCGCAGGTGTTGTCGTTGATTTGCTTCACGCTCAGCTTGATTTCGGGGTGGGTGATGCAGGTGAAGGAGTCCTTGGACTCGAAGTACTTGGCAACTGGTGGGAAGTATGTTAGTGGGTTCAACAACAGACGATACGACCCCAGATAGACAAAGAGGCGGCATTGACATGGGATCAATGAGCCATGGAAATTTATCAGTCTTTGTAGAGCTCTGAGAGGTCCAACTGGGGCGGCTTTGGTGATTGAACTCACATTCTGGACCGACTCCTCTGGGCAGGTTGTTGGCAGAAACCGGGGCGGCTGCCGACAGGAAGGTGCCAACAAGCACCACGCTGTAGCTTTGACGCATCTTTGTATTCTCAGGGCCTAAAAACCTTCATTCATGCGTAAATTCGGTCTTGTTGTTTCGAGAAACGAAGGAAGGAAATGGTGGTGAAGCTGGCCAGATCCAGTCCAGATGCAAGACTGGAGACGGGGAGAAGGTGTCGGTAAGGCACAAATATGGGATACGCTGTTGCTGTTGTCGTGGAACTTCCAGCTCACCCAAAACGCCGTAGTGGGTTCGAGTCCCCAGCGGCTTACAGGGGGGTCGGAGTTGGCGCCCAGGCGGTGGAAGCTGCTGCAGGGACAGTCACGTGAATAGTGGGTCAGGCCTAGCGCAGATAGGACGTCATTGGACAGCTGTCGCGCAGCAGCAGGTGCAGCTCAGGGAAGGAGCACTGGGCACTGGCAGGCGGGAGGAAGGGACGGTGAGGGAACTGGAGAGGGAAGAGGCAGGCGGTACGTACCTCAAGATACCCCTCCAAATCGCGGGGCAAAATGTTTTTTGCTGTCGGCCATCTCGAGTCTCGTCATTGAAGGGTTCCTGTTCCCAGAGCCGTGTCTCTGCCAGCTCGACATCTTCTCCAGACCAAGTATTTTTCTCGCAAAGGCCGAAACGATGTCTTCATCAACCGCCAACACCCCCGCAGCGCTGAATGCACTCTCCGACACGGCCATCGCTTTGATCAAGCAGTTGGAGGCCGTTTGCCTCTCCATCAACGCCGGCAAAGATGACTCCCAGGCTGCGTCTTCTTCGAGTTCCTCCGTCGACCCTCTCGCCCTCGCAAACGACTCCGCATCTTTGATCAAAGCGCACTCGACCAAGATCTCCGTCCTCATCATCAACGAGCCCTTCACGCCGTCCGCCATCAGCAAAGTCGTCCGCGAGCTTGTCGCTGGCCCTATCCCTGGTATCGCGACCGCCGCCCAGTCATGCGACGCCGAGCGCTACACTGCCACCGTTCGCAAGGACTTGTCATGGAAGTGCTACACTGTGCTCAAGGAGCTGCGCGGGCTGGTCGAGAAGATCCCCAGGGATGGCAAGATTCTGTCTGACGCCCAGAAGAGTGGCTCTGCCACTTCGACCGGCAAGGGGAGCATGGCAGCCACGGGTGTCATCTGGGCGGCATGCGACGCGGTCATGAACTTTTACAAGGGCGGCATCGGCGGCTGCTTTATCCAGAAGGTCGAAGAGTTCAGGGCAACACTCAAGGATGTTATGGAGGAGCTCAAGGAGTGGGGCGAGGAGGAACCCGAGGATGAAGACGACAGCGACGCCGACGAATTCGACCACGATTCCGCGCTGGGCTCCATGATGCCGTCCACGCAGGAGCTCATCGACGATATGATGAGCGGATCACAGGCGATCCCTCGGGACGACCCCGACAAGATCCGCGACCGTCTCGAGTCCTGCTTGAGACGACTAAGGCTCACCACGCTCCTCTACCAAGCCATCGTCAAGAGACGCTTCAAGACGTTGCCGTCGCTGCCTGTCGAAAACTCGGACATTCCGATGCGTCTGGATGAGTCCATGCGTATTCTTCGAAAGCTGCCTCACATGTTTGATGAGCTGGCGGGCGCTTTCTACGACCTCTCACCTGACGAGATCGATCGCGTTATGAATTTGTGCTTTGACGAGATTGTTGCCCTCTCGGACCAGCTGAAGGCGCCATGGAGCGGTGACAAGGACGAGTTTTCCGAGTGGGCTGTCAAGTTCCAGGGCGAGATCAAGAAGGGCTGAGTGTTTTTCATCAGCTTGCCCGCAAGCGCGGGCTCAGCTACAGATTCGCACGGGAACTAAGGCCGCAGGCTCACACACCCGCCACCACCACGCGGTTGTGACTTGCATGCCGCACCGCAGACGCCGGTCGTCAAACAAGCTTAGGGCTATTGTTTCTAGACCATGACTGGAACCGAGGCCATGATTGGTCATTTGACGCCACTCGTATTGGTGGTCGCGAGGCTGCGCCATCCGAGACATGGTGTGGAGGGGACATCACCTGGGGATGTGGGGGAATCGCGGTCACGGGCAGGCAAAATGTCATCTGCTGCACCGCACACCTGTCGTGCCTTGCCGCTGCCTGGCGAGAGATGGAGGATGTATATATAGATATCCCAGTCAATATGATTGTGGTGAATAGAGCATGTCAATCAAACGCAAGTATGCCAGAAGAACAAATCGCCCACGTCGATGACCAGATCGATGAGCAGGTCATGAAAGGGGAGACGGGCGAGCTTCCCCGAGGGGTGCCCAGTAGAGGAAAGAAGTTGAAGGCCGCAGTATGGACTTTTCCCGCCGTCTCGAGCGTTGCATTCACTGACATGATGTCCAGATTATCGTCGTGACCGTCACCGGGAAGATTGCCCAGATCGCGACCAACATTCTCACCCTGCCATACTACCGCTTCTACCAGCAAAACACTCTGCTGCCCATTCTTTCCATCGCCAAAACCGTCGAGAATGAGGAGACTGATCAGGAGATATCCGCGGAGCTCCAAAGATGGCGGGACCGAAAGCTGAGCGAGTTCCAGCTCGTGCAAGTCGCCGTATGTTCACATCTCACCATCGGTCTCATCACATACTGACAACCTTTAGAGTACCTTGGTGTCGGCGGCCGTAATCGGGACCTTTTCCTGGCCAACTCCCGACGCCCTGCACTGGCTCACCCCGGCCTTCTGGTACGCCAGCATCTCACTCTCGCTCTTCGCCATCCTGCTCGCATCCTCGGAGCAGTTCATCTTCCAGACGATCCACCGCTCCCCGAAGCGGCGCAATATCGACAAGGAGCTCGCGATGATTTTGTACATCCGCCGCAGCAGGTCCGTCGACCCGGTGCACTCGCCTTTGGAGGAAGTCCCGCCGATTCCCCAGATCCGCGCGATCAAGCTGGCTGAAGAGGGGGGCTGGTTTCCAAAGGAGATGCCGCTGGTGGAGATCCGCTGGAACATGATCTTCACCTGGCAGGCGCCCATGATGCTCATGGCGTACTCGGCGCTGTGCTTCCTGGCCGGGCTGACGGTGTATGTCTGCGCGCCGCTCTATGATGGACAGGGATGGGGCGACGGAGGCAAAGTGAGTGCTTTTATTCACGCTTCATGAAAGCTGCTAACAATACATAGGCTGCCGTGTTTTACCTCGTCAGCTTCTTCTTCTGCGGACTCACCTTCATTTGGTGTGCATACTGGGCATACAAGTTTGTCGACTTGGAGGACCCTTAGGCACGTCACTTTCCCTAGATAAGATGTGATCGGATAGCGGCACCATGGATGCCCATGCAATCATGCACCAACTCACCGGATGACTCACGCCCGCAGCATTTGAGGTTGGCGACGAGATCTAGATTGAAGCCCATAGACATACATATAGATAGACTTGGCGAGTCGCGCAACAAGATTTCTCTTCCTACACAACTCCCCAAGACCATATTAGCTACTGCTCCAAATCCTGTCGTTCGTAAAAACGATGTCCTGCCCCGTGGAAGAGATCGTCAAAACCTATGAAGATGATCCAACGATAGTACAACGCATCGCAACGCGCAAGACTAAACTTCCGCTCGCGATCGAGCCCCCAAACCCGGCTTGGCCCGAACACTTTGAGTTTCTCAAGGCCCGCATAATCGGCGCCATCGGCCCCACGGCCGTGAGCATCTCCCACGTCGGCTCAACCTCCGTCCCAAACCTCCCCGCCAAGGCCGTCATCGACGTTGACCTGGCGATTGCGAACCCGACGGCCGAAGATGAGTACGCTCCTGCACTGGAGGCGGCCGGTTTTCAGTTCCTCTTACGCGAACCCGAATGGCATGAACATCGATTCTTCGCGATGAGTGAGCCGTATTTCTGCAACCTGCATGTCTTCAAAGTCGGGACGGCGGAGATGGAGAGGCACTTGATTATGAAAGAATGGCTCACGACGCACGAAGATGACAAGGAATTGTATGCGCAGGCCAAGGTTGATGCTGCGGGGGTGAGTAACGGGCTGGGTGAGACGGTGGTGGAGTACAATTTCCGCAAGGAGAATGTCATTCGGGAGATTCTCGAAAGGGCTTTCCGGGCAAAGGGGTATCTTCCCGATGTCGAGAAGTGACTTGTGCTTCAAGGAAGATGTCAAGTTAGGCTCTTTCTCTTTTGCTGTCAAGCTTGATATTCGGGTCACAATAGTATTCCCTCAGCAGTCCACTAGTAAAACGAGATAATTACGCAGCACATGGCTCGGGGGTGGGTGAACACGATGGAGACGAAGAGAAACAACAACAAACATTCGTTTTGCTATGGATGAACCCATGTGTTGGGACGCTCTTTGGCGCCTCTTGCGTCCTTACCTATTCAACGTCGTTCAGCTCAAGATTCCGCTTTTTTATGCGCACAAGATGATCTCCTACACATCCCTTTGCCAGTACTGTCAGGCAGTGTTATTTTGTATTCATCGAAAGTACACGGAGAGGGCGATGAAGCCTCCGACAGGCAACTTTGTCTTCAGCCATATGACAGAAATGATACGCGCCCTTGCTAGTGGCCAAATTTTGTCCGTATCAATGCTGGGCTGGATTCCAAAGTCAACGTTGGCCTTGACAATATTCGCCAACTCATCGACTGGGATGTACAGGATACTGTGTCTATCAAGGTATCTGAGCAGCATCATATTTCCATCTACCTGGCACGAGCCTGCGCTCTGCGACGCGGCTCTCTAGGTCCCAACGCCGCTGACAAGCATCGCAGCCCTAGGCCCGCCGACAAGCTCCCCTACCTCGCCTGGCAAGACATTCGCATCACGAACAGTCATCAACAAGGCGCATGGACTCTTCGGGTTACCATCCGCAATCTCAAAACCAACAAGGACGCGGGTGCACAAAGCGCCTTCGTTGTCAATGAGACCATGATATTCCGGGTCGCCTCTCTCCAGCAGCAGTCGAACTTGTCATTGTGAGATCCTCATCGGCTACTAGTTATCGGAATCGCCGCGGTGTTGTTGAGAACATTTCATCGATTGAAGAGCTCTTTGATAACGATCTGCATGTTATCACTGTCAAGCCCGAGTTCCTCGAGCAGCCAATTTTGATTGCCCGCCAAGCCCAAGATTGCTGGTCTCGTGGCCGACAACAGTCCGCTCCCAGCTCCCTCACTGACAACGTGGCTCCAACGACGCGCCGAGGCAATGGGATGGCCTAGCTCTGTGACATTCTATAGCATCATACGGCAATCAGCTGACACCTACGGAGCAATTCTGGGCAATACTGATGCGCGCGCGCTGATGTGTCACGATCCGGATAACTTTGCGTTGGAGAGGGTTTACACCGACAGACTTCAGAATATCGATATCGCTGCCGTCACCCTAGGTGAAACTATTAGGATAGGAAAAGCCTACGAGTTCATAAAGCTCGAGGCAAGCGCGGGCTGCACCCTAGATCGGCTGCCTGCAGCCAAATCATCCAGCTCTACGGTCCTGAATTGAATGCGCTGACCCGTCAGTACATTCGCCAAGACAAAGAGTACTCCACGCTGTCCAGGGCCGAGAAGAAGAACCGGGATCGCGTCCTACGCCGCCAAGCTTTCCTTGCTTTACGTCGTGAGATGATCAATCTTCAGCGACGCAACCAGACTCAGAAGGGACGCAAGATTCGAACTACCGAGATTCTGGTTCGCGCGACGGACTTCAACAAACGGCTCATTCAGGCGTTCAACTCCGACGAGGCAAAGCAGCCAGAAGATGTCAGTGATACACGAGATGATCAACTCGACGATGACTTTCCTGAATCCGATGACGATCGCGATGAAGACGAGATTGATGGCGGCAACAACACCGGAGAAGATGAAGATAACGTCCCGCACCCACTTTCCGGACACCCCCTCATTCCGGACACCTAAAAATGCCTCAATAAAATCTTTCTCTTACAACTTTGATCCTGAATAGCTTCACCACCTTAATCTCACTTATTTCCATCTTTATCTAACATCTTCTTCTAGACCATATGAGTCAATATACAGAGTATGAGATTAATCAGGCTCTTAATGCGATCTCTAATGGGCTTAGCGTGCGAAAAGCTGCATTGCAGTATGGGGTCCCAAAGTCTACTCTTTATGATCGTATCCAAGGCACCCAATCAAGAGATATTGCCTTCTCAGATCTACAGAGGCTCTCTCCAACCCAAGAAAGCCATTTGGCTGAATGGATTCGAATCCAGGCTGCCCTAGGCCTACCACCAACCCATCAACAACTCAAGGAATTCGCTGAGCGTATCCTACAGATCCATGGAGACGCCAAGCCTCTAGGGAAGAACTGGGTTCAGGCTTTTATCAAGAGAAACCCATCTGTAAGGGTCCAGAGAAGCAGAGCAATTGATTCCCAGCGCATCAACGGAGCCTCAACTAATGTCATCAGGCAATGGTTCAAGCACCTCGCCATCCCTGAGATCATAGCCATTAAAGCCTCCAATCGATACAATATGGATGAGTCTGGTATTCTGGAAGGCAGAGGATCAAATGGGCTTGTTCTTGGATCATCAGAAACTCGTTCTATCCGCAAGAAACAGCCTGGATCGCGTGCTTGGACATCTCTGATTGAGTGTATCTCTGCAACTGGCAAGGCACTGCCTCCACTTGTTATATATAAGGGCAAGAGTGTCCAGCAGCAGTGGTTTCCTCTAGATCTGACGCCATACGAATCCTGGAAGTTCACAGCAACAGAAAACGGGTGGACTTCAGACTCTACAGCTTTTAAGTGGTTGACAGAGGTCTTTATACCTTCTACCCAGCCAGCAGACCCCTCAGAGGTCAGATTGTTGATCTTGGATGGTCATGGAAGCCATGAGACTACTGCTTTCATGTATACATGCTTCAGAAACAAGATACACTTGCTGTTCTTGCCAGCACACACGTCACACGTCCTTCAGCCACTTGATCAGTCGGTTTTTGGGCCCCTCAAGGCAGCATACAAGAAGGAGCTTGGATTACTTGCTGAATGGGATGCTGGTACAGTTGTGGGCAAGAGAAATTTCGTTGTATGCTATGGCAAGGCGCGTAAGGCAGCCCTGACAAGCAAGAATATCATCAGTGGCTGGAAATGGACTGGTTTGTGGCCTATCAGTATGGCTAGACCCCTCATGAGCCCTCTGCTGCTTGAGAACACTTCAACCCCTGCCAAACCAGCTGGTCAGGTCTGCAAAGGGCTCTCTGATGGCAAAGCAAGCGAAAAATTGGCGGCAGATACATCAGCAGTCCCTTGGTCAACCCCCAAGAAGAGGGATGAGCTTCAGGATCAGTTCAGCCTGTTCAGCAAGCTGGATAACGATGAGCATACGCAACGCCTGCTTTTTCGGAAGGTTCAGAAGGGCTTTGATGAGAAGGCATACCAACTGGCAGTAGCCCAGCGAAAGATTGAGGCACTACAAGCAGAGGTTGATGCCAGTAGGGCCAGGAAACGCAAGAAGGTCAAAATGAGCCCAAATTCGAAGTTTGCTGATATTGAGGCTATTCGGAGGGCTCAAATCGAGGCGGGAGAACTTGAAAATAGTATAAATGAATCCAGCGAGTCTGAAAACCCTAGTGATAGCGAAAGTTGTATTGTAGTTGCATCAGAATAGCAGAAGTCCTAGGTTTAAGTTACTGCGTTGATATATGGGGGCATAATTTTTGGGTGTCCGGAATGAGGGGGTGTCCGGAAAGTGGGTGCGGGACGTTAATGCTAGTGGGAATGGAACAAACACCGGCCAAGCTTCGGTAGAAGCCTATCTGGTCTCTATCCAGGGGTTTCAGAGCCTAAAATGACAAAGAAAACTGTTCTGGGAGATTCTTCTTACAGCATCTAACGAGTCAAATCTTTCTAACAGTTTGTTCAGACTCTTGGAGTATAACACCGACGAACTCTGTCTTATTCAAACCAACATTACAAACGCCAAAACAAACCACATTCAAGATGGCAAATACGAAAATCAGTTTTCACAGGTTATGCTGCAACTGACTTCCCACGCACATCACCAATCTGGTCACTATTTCCCTGAGGCTTGGCGCAAGTGTTTCTGACTGAAGCTTTTGTCTGGCTAGTCAGGTGTACCTAATACACCAAGAATAATGCATTCAGCTGTTTATTCACCCAGTCTCCAGATGCCAGTCAAGACAGTAGAAATCAGGCAAGAATGCAGTCACCCGACACGTACCACAGTCACCAAGTGGTCACGACAGACTGAGTAACCCATCCGGCCGCCGCCCGAAGGCCGACGGTGTTTTCAAGGCCGAGCCGTAGGCATCACCCTCCGAAGTGTTCCATCGACGAATTGCTTTTCCCCAAACTGACGCCGGCCACCCTACGGTCTTTGACTCAGGGCGGTCAATGCGGCTACCAGCCAAGCGCTGGCATTCCCCGCCGTGCTACTGGCCAGGCGGCATTCGGATCCGGCTTGTTGACGTCACCAAGTGCGACAGCCTCTCTCGTAAAGCCCGAATTGGACTCGGACTGCGGACCTCAAGCATCGCCGAGGGTCTCTGTTCTAACGGCGCCGATGGCATCACCATCCACGCGCATGCACCGCGATGCGAACCGGTTCATGTTGACAGGTTGTCGTCTGTTATTTTTTTTTAATCTGTATAATATTGATGCTGCCCAGCTGGCCTGGTCAGAAATGTTTATCTGCTCGGTAAGAGCCTCGAAACTCATTTTCAAACCTTCCCCAACCCATTACATCACGACGATTCATCACACATGTCTTCACAATCTGCTCTCAAAGTCCTCATCGTCGGCGGCGGCATTGGTGGCCCTGCGCTCGCGTATTGGCTAGCGAAGCTGGGTCACGATGTCACCGTCGTCGAAAGGAACCCGTCTCTGCGCGCCCAGGGCCAGCAGATTGACATCCGCGGTCAGGGCGTGTCCGTGATCCGCCTCATGGGCATCGAGCCCGAGATTCGCGCAAAGGGCGTCGACGAGGCAGGCCTTCGCTTCGTCGACCAGAACGGCAAGACGGTGGCCACCTTTGAGGCGAACAAGTCCGGTACCGGCAAGCAGAGCTTCACATCAGAATTCGAAATCATGCGCGGGGACTTGGTTCGCCTTCTCTTCAAGAGCACAGATGAGCTGGGCGTCAAGTACATCTTTGACAACTCTATTGCGTCGTTTGAACAAGATGCCGACTCGGTCACGGTGAAACTGAGCAACGGTCACACCGACAAGTATGATCTGGTGGTGGGAGCCGACGGCCAAGGCTCGAAGACCCGGAGACTTATGCTCAACGGAGAAAAAGACCCCTTTGTCCCGTTCAAGCTGCACTCGGCGTTGTTCACGGTGCCTAGGGAAAAGACTGACGACAACTACGCGACGGTCTGCGTTGTGCCGAAGCAGAGGATGATGATGAGGAGGAGCGACAACCCCGAAACTAGCCAGGTGTATCTGGGTCTCGTGCCTCAAGACAAGGAAACCGACAGGCTTCTTCAGGAGTCCCAGAAGAACCGCGACCTTGGCATGCAAAAGCGTCTATGGATTGAGCTGTTCAAGGATGCTGGTTGGCAGACGCCGCGATTTATCGACGGGCTTGAAGCGGGGTGTGTGTCTGATGACTTTTACAACTTCCAAATCGGCCAAGTCAGGATGGACAAGTGGTACAAGGGTCGCGTCGTACTCCTCGGCGACGCAGGCTATGGTCCGAGTCCATTGACTGGCAGTGGTACGACGTCGGCATTTGTTGGCGCGTATGTCATGGCCGGTGAGATTTCGAAGCACTGCACCGGCGAGTCCGCGAAAGCAGGCGTGCCTGCTGCTCTGGAGGCGTATGACAAGACCCTGCGACCATTCATGAAGACCGTGCAGGATATTGCGTGGCGGCCGAACTTGCTGTACCCCAAGTCCGCGTTCGGAATCAAGGTCCTCAATACCGTTCTCTGGCTCGTCTGCAGTCTCAAAATCGACAAGCTGTTCCAGAGACTGCAGTCGGACGACGTAAAGGGTTGGGAGCTTCCTGACTATCCTGCGTTGCCGGTGAAGGGGACCAAGAAGACTGCATGATGGCCACATTCACGAATCACGATATCTTTAGCTGCCCCAGTTGCAGACGAGATTTTGCGCAACTGAATCCTTCGGATTCGTAGTGCGTTTCTCGGCCTTGTCATTGTAATACTGTGTTTTCGATTTGTACTTCGAAGTTATCAGGGAATGGACAAGCTGGCTCGAGGTTTAGGAACGTACGGAAAACAGGCGCGTCGTTGGATTTTACTCAAAGTAGTGTTCGTCTTATGAATGCAGCTTAACAACAATCTTTCTCGTCCCGAACCTTGCGGCGGATGCAGGATGATAAACTTCCCGTGACAGCCGATTGCTACCCGGTAGATGTGCAGCACGCAACATCGGAATTATCCTCCGTTGAAATCAAACCTAGTCTGAGTTTTATAAGTGGCAGGGCGACCTTGCAATAATCGTGGTTGGCGTTGTGGTTCCAGTTGCGAGAGCATTTCCTCGGCCGCACGCGGACACATGTGACGATGTCGGTCGGTCACGTCGTGGACCACGCCTCATCACGGCCGAGGTCTTTATCGTATCTTGAGTCAAAGGAGAAGACTTAATACGCAAATTGGGCATCGGATGTTCAAAAACATGGTTGCAGAGTTCATTGGTAGCGTCGGATCGTTCTCCAGTTGTGTGAAGGAATTCGGCTGCTGATGTTGGGCGGCCGACGCTGTTCTCCGGACACGTCGGTGACAAAAAAGACGGCGTCCCAACATGAACATCATGTCCTAACACAATGCATCATCAGAACACCACACAACAGCATCACGATATTAACAGATACGGCAAAAGTAAAGACATGGGGTATTGAACCCAACCCGATTTGAACGGATAACCTTTCGATAGCCTCGCTGGAGTCGAACGCGCTACCGTTGCGCCATGGGTCCTTGTTGAAAATTTCCGCTGACATCTCATCTCAAGAAGTATTCGTGCGGGGTTTGCGGGGCCACAACAACTGCAGTGGGGCCCCTGCGGTAAATTTGGACCCATGTGCCGCTGACGGGCTCGAAAAACCCAAAAAGAAAAGAGTCTTCGTTGTGCGCGTGGTCATTTTCGGCCGAGGTGGCTTGATGTCGCTTTCGATGTTCGGTACACCTTTTCTCAACCATTTTAACTGCTTAGAACGCGTGACTTCTTCAGCGGCTTGATAAAGGCCCAAACTTCATTGACATGAATGCCTATTTGTGAGCTGCGCATCTTTCTTTACCGGTACACTCGGTATGAGCGCGACTTGAACCGGTAATCAAGTTTATCAGCAGAAAGGACAAAACCTCGCTCACAAACTCTTTAGTATATCTATCGGTTTTCTACATCGAAAAAGCACCCCTGAGCCCGTAATGCCCTCTCAAGAATCTCCCGAACGTCATATTGCTGCAAAGGTCCTTGTCGAAGAACATGAGGATGATGTGAATCATGGAGCGTGCGTGTGGGGACGGCGGTGTACCTCAGGTTTTACCACTCAGCTCCAGTGGGCCACACAGCTGTCAGAATGGTGCCAGCTGCAACTTTTCCGGTCGTAGCTTCAGTTTTGGCGCGGGAATGTGATCGAAGGGAGATTGCCACAACAATGCAAACCGCGCCGGCTCCTGCAAGTACGACGTCCGTAGGAAACAAACTGGGACATGAACTATTAGCTATGTTGTTTCCGGTGGCTAACGTAGCATTAGATGACTGGTGATCCAAGAGTCTCATCCAATAACGTAGGATATGGATCTCAAAGCAAAATGCCTCTTTACAACCCAAGCATCTTGGCGCCTTCCAAATTGAAGCCACAGGCTACCGCTATCACTCTTAGATGCTGATGAGTCTTGTTTAGGGTGCATTGTGTTTTCAAGTCTATTCCGATCATCTGCGTACAATAAAACAACAGGAAGCCACTTGTACGTCGGTCCTCTTTGAAAAATTCGTTCCAGGTAACGCCCATCACATACATCCATGATTCCCTCACGTCCTTCCCATCAAAGTCGAACCCCTTGCGGATTTTCCTACTCACTTATGGCGGTCCTTGAGCCGATCAGAGATGAGGTGACCATCCTCCGGCATGTTGTGGAAAGTGCCTGGACGAGCGACGTAATACGCTCCGCGTGGAGGCTTCGTAAACGTTGGCTTCCATCCTGAGGAGCCTGGAGGAGGTGCGTTGGTGATCACGCCAGGGATGCGGAATCACTGACCTCTTCAAATTCGAGGATGTGTTCACCTGCCAGTTCTCGTCGTACCAGCCGGCCTCGGCCTTGAGCCTGTCGTGCTTGGCACTGTTCTCCAGAGTGGTCCAATCATTCTTGCTCGCGATGTTCGTGCTGTTTGAGCGCCAGATGTGCAGAGTCAACTTCTTCATGGCCTTGAAAGTCTCAGAATCGCCCGCGGCCTCCAAATAGTAAGGGCATGTGAAGTCGCGTTCGTTAGGATCCGCTGCCATTCTCGCGTCACGATGCTGGTGGGTGCGTCTAATCCACTGCTTGTAGGGGGTGTAGAAGTCACTGGCGACATGGTCACGGAGGTGTCCAACGGTGTAGGCGTGTCTCTTCTTGTCATCGTCAACACCGTCGTCCTCCTCGCAGAGGGCACATGTTTCCATTCTCTGAGGTCGATACTGGCCGAGTTCATACGACATCATGAGATTCATGGCGATCTTGGCTGCTGTTGCGTAGGGAATATCGGCAGCAGCTTCGATGTAATTGACAGCAGCATCGGCGAAGTCTGTCTCCTCCGGGACGTTGATAGTGACATCGCCAATGGATCTTCTTTTTGATCTTCAGCATCTTGTTCTTCGGCGAGAACAATGTTCGTTGCTGGAAGCCTACCTTGAATTCTCCTCATCGGGAAGGTGCACCTTCCCCTTCCAGAACCTAGAATAGCGCTCCTTCCAGAAAAGAAGACGAAAGAAAATAGTTTCACTTGGCTCCTCAAAAATGAAAAACAAAGTCGGCCCTAAGGCTCCCCCAGCCCAATTTTCAAGCCCAGCTTCTCTGCGCGCTTCGGTCCTTTCAACTACAACATCTTCACAAAAAGCTGATTTGGTCGGGCTTTCTTTCACCTCCTCTCACAGCTGCTTCGTGCACACAAGTGAAATCCAGCAACCTGGCAGAAATTCAACAACTTGGCATCAAGTACTCTACGCATGATGAGTGGAAGCGCAGACACCAAGGACACCCACAGTCAGTGTTCCACTAATCCGCAGCAGACTTGACTTCCCTCGCTAATTACTCGTTCCACAGAGGGACGTAGCTCTCAGACGGCCTCACCTGAGATGCGGAACTTGATTCTCGAAAAGCTCACTGTACTCAGAGTGCAGAACGATCATTTGATCCAGCAGAATATGATCATGATCCACCAAAACCAGATCATGATCAATAACAACATGACTGTCGTCGAAACCCTCAAGAGCATGCTGGGGTTGGTTACTTTCCTTTTAATTGCACATGATCCAATTGCTGACCATTTTCGCGGCAGTCCCACAACAAGCACTCCTGACAAACCCGACACGCCTGTCAATGACACCGAGGGCAAGGGCAAGGGCAAGGAGCTGCCCTCCAAGGCTGACAACAATCACTGATCTCGTTGCAAACTTGCATTTGATGTCTCTGGATTCTGATCAAGGCATCTCAAGCATCTGAATAGCGAGTCACACTACGCGCGGGCTCATGCCCAAGGATCGAACAACTTCACAGGGAGATTGGCCAATACCTAGCTTCCACGACAGAAGTCAAGGTACTTTTATTTACATAGCTACGGAAATCAAAGCCCGGTCGCTATGACACAGCCACTAAGACCTCCAAAGTAATTAATGTGTACAAAGGGATGTTCAAGCTAGTGCCAAGCTACCTGGCCACCACCGTCGATGACACCGGTATCAACGGTAGCTCATGCAAGATCATCCAGAATCCACGAGAAAGTCTCTCTCTCATCATCTTACAAAAGAAGGGCAAGTACACCGACAATACCTGCCAAGCTCATGCCCTTGATAGCAGCACCTGCTGTGGGAACAGTGCTCGGCATCATGGTACCTGTAGCCGTTGCCATCGACGTGGCTGAGCCAGACATGGTAGCTGTAGCGTTCATCATACCTCCTCCAGTTGCATTCTTCGGCGCGACAGCAGCTTCATAGCTCGCGCAAGTCGAGTTGGGCGAAATGGGGCAGCTGTTCTCGATGCAGATCGCCTGGAGCTGGGGTCCCTGTGCAGGAATGGCAGTGGCTGGCGGGCTGCAGCGCATGCCAAAGAGCTGGGAAAGCGCCTTTCCGACTGCCTGAAGGTCGTCTTGGGCAACGCCAAAAGAGGCAGCCGCCATGGCCACCTGCTGAATAAAGTATCCGAGCTCGTTCATGTCTAGGTCCATGAATTTGTGAACCTGGTACATGGATGCGTGTCCGTCATAGCCAGGGAAGCCGGTCATGCCGTACTGGGAGCAGCCAAGCAGGGCACCGAAGAATTGGTAGAGATGGGTCAAGAGAAAGCTGGGAAAGATCGTTTGTTAGCCTCATAATGGTTGTCAAAGGTGTCGCACGGCTACATACTATTGATTAGACTTGTCGTCGTTCGCCGGCATGTTCTTCATCAGTGGCGCAGCGCCACCTCCATCAAGGAAGTTGACGGAAACGCCAGAGCTGCCACCGCGGTTGGACGAGGCCAGGTCGCCGTTGAAGTATGGCAGCAGATTGACTTCAGCGCCGTTGTAAGTGCCCGCCGCAAGAATGCCAGGAACTTTGACACCGACGTTTGGCATCGTATCTATTGTGACGAGTAAGTCATCTGCAAAGGTGGACTCAGGTGATTGAGCTCACAGTTTCCAATCACCACTGTGTTGACCAGAAGAGTCAATAGAGTGTACTGGTTTTCGGCCGTGTTGTTCTTGAGAAGGGCTGTGGTGTAGTAGTCGCAAATTGGGGTATCAGCCGGACGCTGAGCGGCGACACTGCTGGCCGCAGCCAAGGCAACTGAAATGATTTTGTAATGCATTTTTGGGTATTGTTGTTTTGTTTGACTTTGGTACGGAAGAAAGAAGGGCTGGGAGTGAACCTTTACTCACTTGATACATGCGATGAGAGCCTTTTTATGATGAAAGGCCTGTCCGTTGGAAGCACATAGGCACTCCAGCCCCTCCCCAAGCTCCAGCTCCAAGCTGCCCATTTTGCCGTTTTCCGGTCAAATGACCTCCGAGGAGACGTTGACAGCCATCATCTCAGATAAAATGATGGTCTCGTCAAGCTTTGGCACTAGCTGTTTGTTCGCTGATCCCAAGCTAGTGAGCACCAGGGACTAGCGCCGGGGCAGCTCCGATCCGTGGGCATCAACGACCAAGTCGGGACAATAGCTTACATTCTTTGAATTAGATCGACTCCTATTGGTAGGAACGACCCATTGGGCTCGGATCAAACATGCCCGGCAGTCCTAAGACAACGACGTGGATACCGGATCGCAGCCAGGCCGTTGACCTAAGTAATGACCCATGTCATCGGTATTCCTACGATTTCTACCTGTACAGGAAGGGATGTGACGAACGTGGTACAAGAAGAACACGCCCAACGCAGAAGGGTTTTGAAGCTAAAGAACGGAGGGAAATTTTGCCGGCACCTGCTACCAAAGCTCCTGGGGAAGCTTGCTGACAGCTGGGAACCGGCTTGGGCTCTCACGGATTGACTTCTTTCCGAGAGACTGTCCAAAGTCATCTGGCTGTCTCACGGGCCTTGGATTCTAGGCTTAGTATATCGAGCGAAGATCAGTTCTCAGCAGTGCAGACTGGTATCTAACGCGATATGGGGAGTCTTTGGCCTTTGAACATTTGATTTGATGGAAATTCGGTGTCCGGCTTTCGTATGGCTGCATTCACGTCCCTACGTGATGTGGTAGAGAGATCCAAGCTTTGGCCTCAATACTCAATACAAAGCAATTAATTGCCTCCCAGATTGCGTCCATGACGGCTTAAGGGCTGCGGTGCGGCATATCCTCATTTTGGAACCTGTAAGCCTGTCCTCAATTTGTCTCACTGCCAAAAAGGAGACAGCTTCTGGCCGAGGGAGATAAGTAGGTGACCATACGCAATGTGCTGGTATCCTTTCGGACCTTGCTTTACGCCATCTGGCCCCTGAAAAGGTTTGAAACCCTTCTGATGACACGCAGACTCATATTAGCTGATTTTGGGCAATCTTCCAACTCCAGGAAAGAAACGGTCGTCTTCAAACACATATGTGGCTCTTTGCCTGAGTAGTCGACTGAAGCCATCGCAATAGAACGCCTGCTCGTCGGTTCCCGGACCAACACGCCAGAGGTAGTACTTAGAGGGGTGAAAAAGCCCAGTCTGCATCCGACCTCTTCAGCTGCTGTCGAAAATCTTTCCAGAAATGGCTTTAAATAGCGAGGCTCAAGTCGGAGCATGCTCGTCATACAGTCACATTCGCAACTGGCCATCAAAGATATGAGAAGATCAGTTTTTGGATCTTGAACAAAATTGTTGGGATTGAGAGACGGTGAATTCTCAAATTCTGGGTAATTGATTTTCAGTTTGGGTCGCAATTCGAGATCGCTAGAGATCAGTCCCCAGTATAGAGAAACAATACACTCCCGGATGGATGCGAGGTTCTCGAGATGCTCCACATTTGCTGCGCTTTCTTTCTTGTAAATATCCAGAATTCCCCATTTCCAGTGACAAAGATGGACGTCTATCTTCCGAAACGTGGCTGCATCACATTGGGTAACACCATCAGGGTAGTTAGCCGGCTCCTTGCATTGGGGTCCGTAGATCTTGCAAATCGCCTCTTAGCGAACAAAAGATTCGAAAACTTTGCACCTTTCACATTCGGTAAGCTTGCTGATGTCGAACTTCCTTCGTTGCCATGACCATATAAGGCCGTCGGACGAAAAGCCCGGCCGCAAAGACTTGGCGGGGACTCTAGGCATCATCTTGTAAGCTTCCGGAAGAGACGGAGCAGTTGCTTTTGACAAGAAGTCGTCGATTAAAAGCCAAATTCGTTGAAAGAATGAATCGAGCTTCAGAAGTAGGAAAACGGCCATCTCGTTGAGAGGGATCGAAAGCTCACCGGAAGCCCACCTCTTCAGATGTGCGTGATTGTAGAGTTTTCGATCATACGAGCCAGCGTCGTATCTTGGAAAGAATATAACGGCCAGGGGCATCGTCGAGATGTTCCCCATCTAGGTCCCGCGACACGAAAGTGCGCATGATTCGTTTTCTATCGGCCTTACACTGCTGACAAATGGCCGGTGATGCTAGACCAAGCGCCGAGACGTCCTCGCGAGTTTCAATGCTTTCTATGATACGTAGGCGGACCTCAGGTGGACAGTCTTCAAACGCATCCATGGTTAAGGTGTCTCCGGGTTTTGGTGTCAATGATGGCGTAGGTGTCAGTAGTTTTCGGTGGGTGTTGATTGCGGAGGTTCATGCCACGTCCAAGAATGAGTAGCTTAGTATGGTTCGCAATGTTCCAAAATTTCCGACCCGTATGTACGGCCTCTTCAATGATCAATAATTTTCGTAAGACAACAGGGACGGCAAGTGTGTCGCGGCACCGAATGACCCACAATACCGCCACGCTCTACTGAAAACTTCAACCCAGGAAAATGGCATTCATGAGAGCACAAGTGCTGTGAGCGGTATGAGCGGTAAGCACTTGCTGCATGGAGACCAGGGCAGGTGATCGGCTTCGAGTAGTTCCTAGCACCGCCCATCCCGCCAGTGCTCCCAAACAACGAATGTACAAGCGCCGAGGCTTCTAAAGCACTAGCCTTACCTAATTCTTGCTGTGGAAGTCGTCGCAGCCATGACCCAATGAGCTGAGCTGCTGCCTGACGATCTCGACAGTGCTGGGGTCTGCGTAAATAACCTGGATTGAAGCTTCAACCCTCACCAATACACCATCATTGAGGTTCATGTTCCGAGACAGAGACTGGTACGTCGAGTCTTGATTCTGCCGAATGACCTTACGGAGGATGAGACTTGACATCTACTTGGCAGTCTCCAATCTTGTAAACACCGATATATGGAAACGAGCTGTTATGCCAAGGGGAACACTGACGGTGCTTTGATCTATGCAAACCCCACCCAATCTTGAACCCGGCAGTCCGGCATGTGGGATTCCCTCGTTGAACTACCAATCGCGAATTCGGAAAGCCATTACGGAGAAATCAATTTGAAAGCTGAGAGCGAGCGATATTTCTCACACGAAATGCTACTCGTGCTTGAGTGGGTTGAGTTGCAGTTAATGGTCAATTAGGACTAGTCTCGTTGTGACGGTGGTCCCGCCCAGGTGGTGTTGTGGATGCTTCAGGCAGAGGTACCCGAACAGACATGCTTTCTGAACAATCATCTGATGTTCTGGGTTTACACTGACAGGCACGATAAGAAAGCTTGAAATGTGTGCGATCGGTTCCGAGGCTGAATCTGGTTGAGAAAGCGAAAGGATCATTCTGAAGTGTGTACTAGAGTCGCAAATTTCTTCGTTCAGTGCTTTATTCACTCAATGCCAAGGCGTCATGGGTCGTGATAGGTAAGATAGGATAGGGTTGTCCCCTGCGAATGAACGAAGTCTCGGTGGTTAGGAGG